ATTCCACATTACCAACCCATATATAGATATTTATAGATATTCGTAGATATTTGAGAAAATGCAAGATTTAAAAAATAAAAATAAAAAAACAAAACTAAAACTAAATAACTTTAAAACATATATTTATATTAAAATTTAATTTTGTAACATATGTTTATACTGAAATAAATAATTTCGAAACATATATTTAGTATAAAAATAAATTAAATTAAACTACTTTATATATAATTAAGAGTATTTTTAATATTTTTAAAGTGGTACTCATACTTATGAGTACCTTATTATCCGTCTTTAATATTAAATATGTACCCATTTAATTATCTATTTGAATTTTATAATGAGTTTTATTCATGGATATTCATCCAAATGGATTTTTTTTCCATCCCTAATTACAATGTTTGAATGCAAATAATCACTCTATTTACTACTTTTACTACTTTTAATCCTTTTACTACTTTTAATCCATCACATTATCTTTATAATATTTAAGATGTAATGTTTTAAGAACATTTATTTCATAAAATGATAGTGAAGTGGAGTTTGAATGATACGCATAAAATCTTAAATTTAAATTTTATACTTTATCATTTTTATAAATTAAAAAAAAATCATGAAATGATAGTACTGGAATTTTAGAAATCTAATTTCCACTCAATTTATTATATACTCTTAAAAAAAATTGTATTGTTGGGCTAAAAAACAAAAAAAAAAGCAAGCATGATATAGCTAAGGCTCATGATATATACACTTCCTTTCTTTTATAAGTACACCTCCTTTATTTTTTTATAAAAAAATTATAAAATATTGTAGTTTTTTTTTTAAATTTTAATTTTACACCTTCAATTTTTAATTTGTTACTTTCTTTTTCTTTTTCACATATTTTTTTTCTCTTTTAATTTTTACATGTTACCAGAATAGGTGGGATGGAGAAAAGGTAAGGGAATGCATGCAAAAATTAAAAAAGAAGAAAGATGTGTGAAAAAAAGATATTAAATTAAATATTATGAATGTAAAAATTTAAAATAAAAAATAAAAATTTAAAAATATTTTAAAATTTTAATTATTTTTTATTAAATAAAAATCTGTACTTATAAATAAAAGGAGGTGTATATATCATGAACCTATAGCTAATTGTGGGCGGGGACTTTTTGTGACATTTACCGATTAAAAACAAGTGAGACCGCACACTTGTGGAATTGTGGTTAAGAATTTGAGTTAATAATCAAATATACTGTAAGTCTAAAAAAAAATTTATACTGAAAATCAATTATATTATTTATTTATTTAAATAAAATTAAAATAGAATAATTTAAAAGATATGATTAATTGTTAGTATAAAAAAATTTTACACTAGTAATATATAATAATTAACTCTAAAAATTTATATTATGTAACAAAATTGTTTTGAATTAATAAATAATAATATCAATTTTATTAATTTAAAAATAACTGTTTACACTAGTCAATAACTTTTATTTTCTTACTTTTACTTATTGACACAAATAATAGTAACAATGTTTAGATTTGGATTGTATAAAATAAAGTATATAAAAAAAATATCAATTTTATGTTTTTATGATCTCAATAAAAATTAGTCAATATTAATTATGATAGATACTTTCTATTAATATTATATTAAAAAAATTCTTTATTTTAGAATGTCAATAGTCATTATTAATAGTTAATTTTATTAAAATAAGAGAAAAATATGTTTTTTAGTCTTTCATTTTTTTTACTGTTTGTGTCTCTTTAATTTATAAATGTATCATTTTTAATCCTGAAAGTAATTTAGATAACGCTTAAAAGTGATTATAACAGTGTTATCTAAATCACTGTAACAATTAAAACTTGCACATTTTTAAATTAAAAATAAAAATAAAAATAGGGCCCAAAGAAATTTAGGAATTAAACTGAATTGAAAAATTTTAGAGGGTTAAAAACATGTTTTATCTTATTAAAAATTATCAATAATGTAATTGAAATGCCAAATAATTAAAATAAAGAAATAATTTTTTAATGTCGTAAAATAGTCAATTAACCTATTGAAATTTGTTTTTGAACGGCATGCTGCGCACTGCGCACTAAAGTACAGTATAGCAAAATGGTTAAATGAAATTAAATAGTTAAAAAAATGTAGAAAGACGCCAAATGAAAATAAGATTCTAAAAGAGGAAGTAAATTCTTGGTCCCTTCAAACAAGAAAATGTGATAGCAATTAATTTTCTATGTGGTGATCTCATTATCTATGGTTGAAGTTGTCGTAAATAACTGCAATACCCTATTGGCCATGGCTTGAGTCATTCCCAGCACATATCAACTTAAAAAATCCAAAAGAAACTTGAGGCTAGCCCCTGGTTTTCTTTTAGAGTCAAATACTTAATCTTTGAACACAGCCCATTGTAAATGTCACACTTGCATGCCAAGTCTCCAAATTCCACATTACCAACCCCTATATATACAAATGGCACACAGAAACATAGGCCATGCAAGATCAAACAACCATTGTTTGTTGTAAACACCTTTTTAAAATCCAAGGTTTCAGAAAAGAGACATCTTCCAAATTAATGGGGCGTTGGATGAAACCAGAGGTACTACACCCATATATACATATAATTTAATTTTCCCATATTTGTTAATCTCGAGTTTAATTATGTGATGTTTCTTCACTTTTATAAAGTTGTTAATTATTGGCTGGCAGCAATTATTTAGTTATAACTATGTTTTACGAGGCATTCGCATGCACCTGTCCCATGTTGTAGGTTTACCCTCTATTGGCTGCAATGACCTTTGTGACCAGCATGTGTGTCTTCCAATTAACAAGAAATTTGCTTGGCAACCCTGATGTTAGGTAAAATTGATCGATTCTCACCAAATATATTAGACTTAATTTCATTATTCCAAATCTTAATCTTCAGCAATATGAATATAAAAAGAAAAAAATCATAATGTCAACCAAATATTAATTTATTAGATTACCATGATACATATTATTCACCAATTCTAAATATGAAATCTCTCTCTTCGCATTAATGTTTTTTCTATCTATACAAGAATACAAATTCAGGACCACTTATATGAATTTATAATTAGATAATGATGCAAAAGATTTTCATGATAAGTATATTCTAATTAAATGTTGTAAATAAGGGAAATGAAATGATAAATGGATGAATTGATTGTAGGATTAACAAAGCTCGTCGCAGCACAGCAGTGTTGGAGAACAGAGAAGAGGGAGAGAGATATGCTGAGCATGGGCTGAGGAGGTTTCTTCGTACTCGACCACCAGAGATTATGCCAACCATCAACCATTTCTTCAGCGATGATAAATGAAAAGTTTCACACATTAACATATGGAACAAAAATTAAGATGTTATTAATTTCTCTCTGCAGCTTGCATGTGAATTTTGTCATATATATATATATATCTCACATAAGAGTTGGTGTTTCAGCGTCTTGTAATAGTCAGCATCAAAATAAAAACTTTTGTAATCGGGTTTATGTATATGAGTCAATAGTCATTGTTGTTCACTTCTTCTTCTTTATAACTTTCAAGTTTTTTTATTTATTTATGTAGACTTAAATAAAAATTATAAATAAAAATAGGCTTAAATATGTTTTTAGTCTCTATAAAATTGACGATTTTACTTTTGGTCCCTCTAAAACTTTTGTTTTTGTTTTTCATCCTTCTAAAATTTATAAACATTGTTTTCGATCATTATAAAATAAGTAAATTTTAATTTTGATCCCTATAAAATATATTTTTTTTAGATTTCATCTCTCTAAAATTTAAACTAACTATCTTTAGTTCCTAATGATCATTTTAAGATGGATGAATAACATTTATTTTAAAGACTTATAAACTTTTTTAGAAGTGTTAAATATCAATATGATATCAATAATGGTTATAAGTAGCACTTAAGATTGTTATTTAACTTTTTAATATATAAAAAGTAGTTAAAATGATTACATAAAAATAAAGACTAAAAATAATAATTTTAATTTTATAAGGATGAAAAATATAGAAAAAGATTTACAGGGACTAAAATCAAAACTTATTAATTTTATAGGGACCAAAAATATATTTAAGTCATAAAAATATATATTTTGTCGTTGATTTTACTCTTGCAAATTAATAATAGAAAAAATAGTACTATATTATTTTTTTTTTTCTATTTCAAAGGTAAAGGAAATCTTTCTTAATTTAAGATGAGATAACTTAATATTTTTCAATTGAGATTCAATTAATTTAAATATAACAAATAGTTTTTTTAATAAGACAACTAAATTTTTATATAAAGAAAAAGGTCATGCAAAAATTTGTTTATTTATTTATATGTTGTCTCCTAATTGGTATAAATAATTTCAATAGATTGTGAAATAAAATTTATTTGGATTGAATATTATAACGACCCGGCAGGTCACCACACACTACTCAGTACACCTGAAAACTGGACAGAAAGGAACAAGTGTATACATATAGTGTCTAGAATATACATATATACATGGTCCAAGTCTGACTAGATTCAAAATGTACAAAAATACATCCAAAACTACTACACCAAGTAGCTGAAACAACAAAACATCAACAAGGATCAACTCTGCCTGCCAGCTGCAGACTCACCACTAGCCACCAACCTATCCCTGCTCTGCTCCCATACATAGCATGATCATCGCAGTCCAAACCACATGGAAACAACAAAGGGTAAGCTAGTGAAAAGAAACAACATACATATATAAAATATGAATGATAAACAGCTACAACTATCAGCACATCAACCAACTTAACAACATCAGTCTATAATATATCACAGCACACATCTCACATCATTCAGCAATCACACACAATGCGTCGTCACGCATATAAGTTAGTATTGGTCACTTGTAATCGGTATAGCTCGACCTGGCCCCTATACCGTGGTCGCTTTGTACACGTGTGCCTCGACCTTGCCCACACACGGGACCACTAAGAATCTAGAGGAGAACAACAAGTTACCACTCCAAGGGTCAGCTTTCCAGGGAGGGTTTTTCAACAAATTGGGCTCCAAGAGCACCACAGCCGCTCAATCCACAATGGGATGAGGAAGTTTCAAAAACATCTCCTCTAGTCTTAGTGATCAACACCTCAGCCTTACGGCCTACAACAACTCAGCCATTTCGGCCTACAGCAACTTAGCCATTATGGCCTACAACAACTCAGCCATTACGGCCTACAACAACTCAGCCATTATGGCCTACAACAACTCATATCAATATTCAACACAACTCAACTTTTTCAACTCAACATATCAACTTGCAACACAACACAACTATACAACTCAACATCAACTTGCAACACAACACAACTTTACAACTCAACATCAACTTGCAACACAACACAACTTTACAACTCAACATCAACTTATCAACATACAACACAACTCAACTCATCAACATGCAACACAGCACAACTTGTCAACATACAACACGTCTCAACATCTTGCAACACAGCTAATTATAGCTCAACATTTTCAACAACATTATCTCCTAATCATCACACCACATCCATCATTTTCAACTCAGTTCATCATAAAACAACATTAACCACCATATAGTAAAATCTCTTCTCCGCGCCTGGCGCACTCATGGTTGCGCCCAGCGCGATACAACCAGAGAGCACCAAGGGGCCAGTGCGCCCAGCACAAGCATGCCTGCGCCCGGCAGGACTCAGCCAGAGAGCCCAAGGCTCACACGCGCCTGGTGCAATACCAATTGCGCCCAGCGCATGCCAAGCAGAGACTCCATGGAGTCTCGCACGCCCGGCGTGCCCAAACCCACACCCAGCGCGGGGAAGGCAGAGACCTCCCATTGGTCTCGCGCCCAGCGCCCATAAGGCAGAGACTCACAAGGAGTCTCACGCCTAGCGCGACAAGGGTCGCGCTCAGCACAACACATCAATATTAGCATATACAACACACAACATATGACTCATCCACCTTGTTTACAACTCATCCATCTTGTCAAATTACCCACCCAAACAACACCAATCAACCTAAGCACCTAAAACGACTTCAACTTTAACCAAATCATTGAGATGTGAAATGGCAACCTTCATAGAAAATAGGGCATCAAGAGTTATACTACTCCTACCACAATCGTTCTTATCTCATAAGAAAGATAAGAAGATTTCCTCCAACTCTCTTGAAGACACCAAGTCCTAATTCCTTTATCTACTATGTTAAAAATGATAAAAACCGCAACAACTATAAACAAAGCTAGCAGCTCGACCCCTCTTCACAAAAACAGTCATAGCTAGAGTTCTAAAGCTCCTTTTTGAGTGATGCCAGCGCCATTGGAAAGCTAACGTCCAAGGCTACAACTTTCATGAAGATTATAAAGTCAAATTCTAAAAAACAAATGCGCGTCCGGCGCAGTAAGAACGCGCCCGGCGCATTCTCAACCCGAGACCCACAATGTTTATTGCGCCCGGTGCGAAGAACTGCGCCCGGTGCGAATTCAAACAGCAACTCACCCCAAATTCAAAAACTCCATCCAAAACCTACAAAATCAACATCCTAGGCACATGCAATCGGTCCAAAACATCACATTTTCATCATACAACCCGAAAATACTAGCTTTTTCAACATGCAACAAGAAACAAGGAAAATCCCCAAATTTTTCATCAACCCCGGAAAGAATAACCCGAAAATGAATTTTCATCAAGCACTAACATTAATCCACAATAATCAACCATCAAGTGAGTTTCTAGCTCACTTCCAAGCAGCCAACACAAAAATAACTAACTTCCCTTACCTCGGTGCGAAAATCCGAGCTTCGAGATAGCGGAGGAGAAAAGGAAGAGCTCAACGAAGAAGAAGCTTGATCGGAAGAGAAGAACAGACTTGAGCAACTAAGGAGAAGAAGAGAAACTCCGAACACCCGGCTAGCAAACCAACTCCTACACAGCACCACCACCTAAAGAGAGTGAACGGGGAAGAAAAGAGTGAGTGAGAGTTGAGAGTTTGAGAGTTGAGTGAGGAAGAGAAAAGAGAGGGAGGGTTCACGGGTCTCACAACCTCCCCAACAATAAGAGTTTTCGTCCCCGAAAATAGAATTACTTGGGAAAAGAAACAGATACTGCTCCCTGCACTGCTGCTCAACCTCCCAAGTATCATCACTAGTAGCTGCATCCCACAACACCTTCACCCGAACAATGGACCTGCCCCTCAGCTCCTTCAACTTATCATCCACCACTACTACTGACAACTTCTCAAACGTCAGGTTCTCCTTTACCCGCACATCATCCAGCTCAACCACATCACTAGGGTCATGAACATACCTTCTCAGCAGGGACACATGATATACATGTTCCCCTTCCACAACTCCAAAGGCTTACGCCTTTTTCTTCAGCCTATGATTTCTACCTACTCCGAATAGTCTTCATCCTCTCTTGAATCAGCTTCACCTCCTCAGTAGTCTGTAGGATCAGCTCCGGTCCCCCAACCACTGATTCACCATCGTGATACCAGCACAAAGGAGTCCTACATCTTCTGCCATACAAGGCTTCAAACGGCGCCATCTCAATACTAGCATAAAAGCTATTATTATACGCGAACTCAACCAGCTGTAGGACCTCCTCCCAGCTCAAAACCAACAGCCTTCTCGGTTCCCAGCAAACCAAGAAGTTTCACTAGCTCAACATCCTGCAACTGCTTCTGTTCAACATGCCTCAAGAACTCACTAGTTATGGTAATCATCCCACAACTAATGTGATCCTGAGCTAACTCCACGCAGAGGTTCAGATCTCTGAACTCCTCTACCAGCTCCAACTCTCCCACCATCATACTAGACATGTGGATGGATTTTCTACTAAGCGCGTTCGCCACAACATTGGCCTTACCAGGATGATACATCAACTAGAAATCGTAATCCTTCAGAAACTCCATCCACCGCCTCTACCGGATGTTCAGCTCCTTCTGATCAAACAAGTACTTCAGACTCTTGCGATCACTGAAGACGCTGAACAGAGCACCATACAGATAATGTCTCCATATCTTCAAGGCAAAAACAACAACTACCAACTCCAAGTCATGAGTGGAATAATTTCTCTCATGATTCTTTAGTTGCCTTGAAGCATACGCCACCACTTTCCTGTTCTGCATCAGCACACACCCCCAAACCCTGGTGAGAAACATCACCATACACATCAAAAGGTTCACCAGAGTCGGGCAATGCCAGCACAGGAGAAGTAGTCACCCTCCTCTTCAGCTCATCAAACTCATCTCACAGGCATCAGTCCAAGTAAATGGCTGCTCCTTCCTTTTCAGCTGGGTTAGAGGCGCTACTATCTTGGAGAATCCCTCAATGAACCTTCGATAGTAACCCTCCAAACCCACAAAACTCCGAACATCAATGACAGTTCTGGGACACTCCCACTGCAACAACCGACTCCACCTTAGTCGGATTAACAGCAATCCCCTCAGCTGAGATCACATATCCCAAGAACTTCACCTCCTCCAACCAGAACTCACATTTTGAAAGCTTAGCAACAG